AGGAGCTGAATATGAGACAACGACGGTGGACCGAGTTCCTAAAAGACTATGATTTTGAATTGAAATATCATCCTGGCAAGGCTAATGTTGTAGCTGATGCACTGAGCCGTAAATCTGTGAGCATATCAAGCATGATGATTAGAGATTATGATGTGATAGAGAGGTTCAGAGATATTCAATTATCTAAAATCTTTCCATGTCAAATTTGTGGCTTTGAAATCACGAGCATTGAGAATGAACTGATGACCAGAATCAAAGAAGCCCAGCTGCAAAATGAAAGTGCTAGACGACTAAAAGGACAGAGTGGTGTATCCTGCAATGATGAGGGTATACTATTATATCAGGGTCGTGTAGTTGTACCTAGGCAGTTGGCGGAAGAAGTGATGACAGAGGCTCATAAGGGTCATTTTACAGTTCATCCGGGAGCTACAAAGATGTATCCGGACCTAAAAATGAATTTTTGGTGGCCTGGTATGAAGAAAGACATTGCCGAATTTGTCTCTAAGTGTCTCATTTGTCAGAAGGTAAAGATTGAGCATCAAAAGCCTTCTGGTATGTTACAACCTCTGGATGTTCCTGAATGGAAATGGGAGAGTATCTCCATGGATTTCGTAGTGGGATTGCCGCGAACACAGGCTAGTTATGATTCTATATGGGTGATTGTGGATAGATTGACAAAATCCGCACACTTTTTGCCGGTTCGGGTAGATTTCTCTGCGGAGAGATTGGCTAGGCTCTATGTGAAGGAGATTGTGAGGCTTCATGGGGTGCCTGAAAGCATTGTTAGTGATCGGGACCCGAAGTTCACTTCTCGCTTCTGGGGAGCATTGCAGGAGGCTCTTGGCACTCAGTTGAGACTGAGCACTGCTTATCACCCACAGACGGATGGTCAGACTGAGAGGACCATTCAGACGTTGGAGGATATGCTGAGGGCTTGCACCCTGGAGCAGGGTACTGCATGGGATCGATATCTCCCGCTGGTTGAGTTTTCATATAATAATAGTTTCCATGCTAGTCTGGGTATGGCTCCCTACGAGGCCTTGTATGGTCGCCGGTGTAGGACACCTACCTGTTGGTCTGAGGTTGGAGACACAGAGCGGTTTGGATTGGATTTTGTTCAGGAGACTACTGAGCAGATCAAAATGATTAGGGATCGTCTGAAAAAGGCTCAGGATCGTCAGAAAAGTTATTATGATCTCAAGCACCGGCCTCTAGAGTTTGAGGAGGGAGATCATGTGTTCCTGAAGCTGTCACCGGTTACGGGTGTGGGACGAGCCCTTGGAGTGAGGAAGCTGAGTCCGAGATTTATTGGACCCTACCAGATTCTTCGTAGGGTGGGACCGGTTGCCTACCAGCTTGCCTTACCTCCGCAATTGGCAAATTTGCATGATGTGTTTCATGTTTCTCAGCTGAGGAAATATGTAGCTGATCCTTCTCATGTGGTTCAACCTGATAATGTTGAGATCCGGGAGAATTTGAAGACTCCTATTGGGCCACTGAAGATACTCGAAAGAGATGAGAAGAAGCTGAGAAATAAATATATTCCTATGGTGAAAGTCCAGTGGGAAGGAAGGACGCCTGAAGAGTCCACTTGGGAGCGGGAAGATGAGCTTCTCCGGCAATATCCTGAGTTTAAGGACAGGTACGTTCTTGATTTTGCGGACAAAATCGCTAAAAGGTGGGGTGACTATAATAGCCCTAACCTAATTAATTAGCAAATTGCATGTAATTAAATAATTAAGCATGTTTTAATGAGTAAAATTAAGTATAAGGCTTAATTAAATGAATCTGAGTCACTTTGGAGTTAAAAAGTGTACTCAGTGAAAATTAAGGGGTATAAATGGGTACAGGCAAAAGTACCCAAAATATAAAAATAAAAGTGGAAATATTCCTAGAATAATATTCCAGACTTTTGGGTAAAGTTTGGTAATTATTGGAGTTGAATAGATAGACGAACCAATACCCACTTGATTCCACTTAACTAATGTTAAGTGGCAAACAAGTAGAAACCCAATCTTCCCCCCCATTTCCCCGTCGACAGAAACAGAAGAGAAGAGAGAAAGAAGAGGAAAAAAGAGAGGGAGAAGGAGAGAGAACCTATATGGAGCAATCCTTAACCGATCGGAGTGATTCAAAAGCCTAAACCACTCTAAATCTTCCCCTCTTTCATGATCCAAGCTTAGTTCTTAGTGGGGAGCTTTGTGTGGTGAGATATTGGCTCTAAAAAATTCGACCCTTTGTGAGATTTTGGGGTTTTGAGAGTTTCTACCTCCATTGAAGCTTGAGGAGCCATCAATCCTTGGTTGTGTGACCATTGGTGGTAAGATTCTAACCCTTGAACCTCATGATTCCTTGAAATTTGCATGAGTTAGGGTTTGTGAATAGTAAATTGGGATTTTTATGAAATGTAGTTGAATTGACTATGTTCTAGGAAGATTTAAGCTTAGAGCATGTTGTGAAAAATGCTAAGAACGACGTTTAATCGGTGAAAATGAGCTTAGATAGCTAAATGAGTATATTTGGAAAATGGCAAGAATATGACACTTAGATATTGGATTTCTTGCATTGTTGATAAATGGTTTGGTTTGGTTGGTTGTTGATTATGCCTTGGTGTTGTCTAGGATTGAGGCAATTGGGCCAACCTTGAGAGACCAACCATTGGAGCAAGCTATGGAGCTTGATTAGCTCCATTGGATAGGTGAGTTCATGCTTATGTTTGGTATGAATTGTATAGCTTGGTTGATAGCTATGAGATGTTATTGGATGCAATATGTGTTAATTGCATTAAACCTTGTGTAGGTTTTGTTTGAGAAGTGAAGTATTGTAATTGACTGACTGTGGAACCTGTTGGTGGTGAACAAAGGTTGACTGAAGCATTGAGGTAAGCCTTCGGACCTTGGGTGTAATTCCCTTGATTGTTCCACCAAGCCCTGAAAGGGTAGTGGTGATTATAGTGTATATAAATGCAATAAAATAGTGTAATGCTTTGTTATACGTATGTGTATGCATTTGGTGTGGCATAGGATGGTGTTTCCCTATGTTGGTATGTGGCATGACGATGCGTAAATCATACTTGGTAGTTAGCTGGCCAGTAGGACTATTTGCATCTGAGTTTCCTTAGGACAGCTTGAGAGCTCGAGGGATTTCTCCTGGAGATGTATTGCACTTTGCATAGATATGTATTTACTGCATTATTATTGTTATTGCTATTACACTGATATGGAACTGTGGGGTGGAGAGATGCTCCAAGTACCCCTGGTTTACTGGATATATTCGTATATCTCACCCCGTGTTGTGGGGACCCCCTTTCAGGTAAGGACGCTGCAGGAGCCTCTGGTGGCAAGTGGCCATACCTAGATTATGCTTGAAATATGGCACTTCCTTGAGTTTATGCATGTCTTTTGTAGTTGACATGTATAGGATTTTATTTTGAAAGCCCATGATCATTTGTATATCTTGATTCATTGGATGAACTTAGCCTATGCTCATGCCTTTGGTTACACCTTTTGTTGATGGGAGCCAAGGGAATGATCATAGTGTTTTGTAAGCTAAGTTCTATGATTTGTAAAGGATATGTAATGTAAATGATGTCTACTTGGAATTCAATATATGCATGCTTGTTATGTATTGAGTTGTTGAATTGGTTGGGCTGAAAATCAATTAGGTACCCTCTTCGTTTAAACTGGTAAACGATGAGAAAACAAAGGTTATGCTGCCCAAATTCTAGCTAAATCTCATGAGGAGAGGTTGGATGAGTGCTAGGATTTAGTTTCGGGGCATGGACATTTGTGGTTTGTAATGGGGATGCATTTTCCCCTAGGCTTGGACTTGAGAAATGTGGGAATTGGAATTCCCTGGCAGCGCGCTTAAGCGCCCATGAGCGCGCCCAAGCGCCCTGCTGCCCCTGCGAGTGCCAATGCATTCTGCCTCCTCGCGCTGGAGCGCCCAAGTGGGGGCTTAAGCGCCCAGGATTGCGCGCTGGAGCGCCCTGGCGTGCGCTTAAGCGCCCTTTGCTGCAGAAAGTTGGGTGGCTTACTGCCCCCTCGTGTTTTAGCGCCCAGGGTGGGGCTTAAGCGCCCAGGGTTGCGCGCTTGAGCGCCCTGGTCCGCGCTTAAGCGCCCTTCGCCACTGAAGGAGGAGATGCTTCTGTCTCTGCGCGCTAAAACGTCCCAGTGGGAGCTTGAGCGCCCAGGCTAGCGCGCCTGAGCGCCCTGTTGCGCGCTTAAGCGCCCATCCACACCGGAAATGCTGATGCTTACTGCCTCCGTGCGCTTAAGCGCCCAGATGGAGGCTTTAGCGCCCGATAGCGCGCGCTTGAGCGCCCGGTAGCGCGCTGAAGCGCGCTGGGCCTGTGACCAACACTCTCTTGTGTTGCTTCAAATTGTCCTAACTTGGACTACAGTGCTCCGATTTGAGCACGGTTTGAAGCCACGGGTAGCTAATGAAGAAACCTACAATATAGTAGAAGTGTTGAACTAAACAAGAAGTAAATTAATGGTTTAAAAATGGGAAATGAACATGATGTTAAGCTTAATTTATCTGTTTCCGCAAGGTAATATGGTTATGATCACGAAATTGGGTATTATAAGTTCGGTACGTTTTAAAATGAAAAATTTATCCGGATTTTAATTGAGCCCAGGTGATTGTAACTGCGCTTAATATCATAATGCGATGTTAACAAACCGGTTCTAGAACGGGGTGTTACAACTTGGTACGATCGGTGCACTTGCCGATTTTACGCATCAGATTACCATCAAAAAGCTTCACCCTTCGATGCCACTGTTCCACATTATGAGGATTTTGACGCAGAAGCACACTATTAGCCAGTTCTGTCCTCCTCTCCGTAAGATAATCAAATCGAGCCAATCTTAAGTCTACGTCAATTTTGTCATTCAACCAAAACCCGCGTAATAGTTTCATTTATATAATTATGTAGTGCCTCTCTTATATAATTTTTATAATTATTCAACCATAGGAGTTTGAATTTGTTGTGTGTCCAGTACACAGTGAAGAACTTGGAATTTGCTCTGACAATTGAGCCAGACAATTTGAAGATACGACAGAAGTTAACATTGGCTCAGAACCAGAAGCAAGCTGGTCAACCTACAATTCCCTCAACCATTGAGGAAGAGATGGAGACCAACCCATTTATGAGGGTTGATCTACCTGAGCTTCAGGTTTGCCACCCACCCGCACTCTTCAAAGGGATATTAAAAAAAGAAGAAGCACAAATTGACAGGAAATGCATCTCAACTAGTCTCTATTATCAATTGCAAATTGAAATTTAATAATGTGGCACAGTTTCATTTCTTTGTTGTTCTGAACTCTGAAGTGTGACATAATGCTAAACCTGAAACTGAAGTGTTTCTGGAATGTTAAAAATCTTCGCAGGAGAAGCTAGGTTGCAAGTCTCCCGTTGAAGCTTTAAGAGAGATACGGAAGCGTAAAGACAACTGGAAGGGCTAATGGAACTACTGCATGCATACTCATTGTGCTCTCCTGTTCTATTTTCTTTTTCTGTTCCATCCTCCATATGAAGGTGTCTTATCTTATGTACATGTTGTAACAGTTGGTGATGTTGCTCAAACTGAAATGGAAATATCAGATACTTGTCATGTTAGGGGCGTGGATTGTGATTTGCAGTTAATGTCATCTAGACATGTGTATTATGTTGCTTAGTCTATATACTAAGTTGTTACATTTCATTCATGTCATCTACTTGTGACCTTGAAATACATTATTCTTTCCTTTCTCTCTCTGTCTCTGCTAAGTAATTTTCACCCTCTAAATTTAATAAAAATAAGCACGAACCAAAAGCTAGCTTCATTTCTATCAGTTACTGTCAGAAAAAGTAATGGCATGCTTCTTTATTTACTGATTTTTTATTTTATTTTTTTATGCGAACTTGTTTTTATTATAATTTGTTTTGGATTTAGCTCGTGGAATTATGGCCTGGCTTTTTATTATTTTTTGTCGGCGCAGCGCAAACGTATGTGTTAGTGCCAAACCTCTTAACTTCAAAGTTCAAACTCAAAGTCGACAATTAATTAATAACATTATATTACCTAAGATTTGCATTTAAATTAAGCCCTCGATATATTCTACCTAATAAGTTTTGTTTTTAGAAAATATCTTAGGTATTTATGAATAATTGAATGAAAACGAAGTCATACTTGGACGAGAATGCTGACTCAAACACTTATTATTATGAATAACCTAACGAAAATAAACCCTCAATAATAATAATAATAATAATAAAAGCATTGATTGATGAAGAGAAAAAAAGGAGGGATCTAAGAAAGGTGGGGACGATGGCAATTCATCCGTTGGCTTTGTGAAGGGAAGGAAGCAACTGATAGTATTTGTTTAAAATCAAACAAATAAAAATAAAAAATCTAAGGTTTTCAGCTTCGTGACGTTGACTTTTCTTCTGTCTTTCTAGTTCTTGTTCTGCTACCTTTACTGGGTTGACGTTAAATCCTCTCATCATGCAGTAACCTTGTTTACGAGTGAATTTTCGGTACAATAGTAGTAGTACATGTTTTACTAAAAAATAAAAAATAAAAAGGAATATAGAAGAAAATAATTATAAAAACAAGAGTAACGTAAATGTGTTAATTTTTTTTTTTTCATTTTTGGTGAATGGTCGGTCCATCTTAATTAATACTGAAAATATTTTCCAAGTACTGAAAAGATGTACTGATTTATCAAAGAAGCTGTTTCCTTTTTTTCATTCTCCCAAGAAAGGGAATATGAATCCCCGTTATGTTCATTTATTAAAGTTCATTCCTCGTTGGATTATATTTTCTCCGTCTCTCGCAATGGTTACAAACCAAAAACTTTCCTTCCAAGAAAAAGGAATGGTTTTTCCGTGTCTGTGATTCCTGGGGGGCAAAACCCATAATTCGAAAACTGCAGATAAGGAAAAAGAAAAGGAGGGGTTAGGTGAAGTGAAAGAGATTAGGGTTTTAAGTTTCCGTAGGCAGCAAGATGGAATCATCATCATCATCATCATCATCATCTTCTGGAGGTGAAGTTGTGAACAACAACAATAACAATAGCAGTGTAAATTGGTTTGGGATGAGTTTCCCCTTCCGTTCTCCACTTTCTTTTGCAATGGATTACTGTGGTGCTCATCGCTCAACCCGTGATGATTCTGCTGAGGATGTTATGATTATTCCTCGTACAAACCCTCCGTTTCAGCTTTTTTCTGATTCTGATTCTGATTCCGATTCTGCTTCTGCTTCTGGTAGCGCCTGCAGGGGGGCAGAGGAAGTTGCTATACGCATAATTGGAGCTGGAGAGCAAGACAACAGTTCCTCCTCGTCCTCGTCGCGGAATCGGGTTGGGGAATTTGGTTGTGTTGATGTGGTGAGTACTAGAGGGAGGAGGCTGTCGACGGAGACTCGCCGGAGACTCGCTGAGGAGAGGGTTCCTCTGGTGTCATTGTCTGATGCTATTAGGGATTCCTCCTCCTCCTCCTCCAACTACCAGAGGTATGATATTCAGCAGATTGCAAAGTGGATTGAGCACATTCTTCCTTTCTCACTCTTGTTGTTGGTTGTTTTCATCCGCCAGTATTTGCAAGGTACTGCTTTCTTGTCTTTTGTTTTGTCACTTATTGGATTGTTTGTGATGTGTAGTATATCATATATGCTTGCTAGACTTTGATGATGTGTAGTATATCAACCAAGTTCCGTTGCCCCAAATATTTGAGATATTGTATATGCTTGACTTGTTGGCATGTCTGAACCAAGTCCATAGCTTTTCTTTGTTATTTTGGTATTGAACCTTGTTTGGGGTATGCTTTTCTGCATGGTGCTCTTGATATTGTTGATAGTTTTTGCTTTCGTATAACTTGGCTGCCTGTTGTATTTGGAGGCATTTGTTGTTTGTTCTCAGAGGGTGTACTTTGTGGAATGATGGTCGGGCACAGAAAGGATGCTTGTCTTTTGGAGTGATGGAAACTATGAAATCAGTATTAACTAACATGTGCTACCCATTTTGTTTAAATTTATTTGTTGGTTTTGCTGCCTTGTTAAATGTTTTATATTAATTCTGACCAATGCTGCTGTGAGCCGTGTGGCTTGCAACACATGTGTTATCAGCTATCGCTGAGGAATGTGAAACGATTTCTGAAGGTCATGTAGGGTTGTGCCTCTTTTGTTTACTGTTCCTCCTACTTGGAGGCGCCTATCCTTCGTAAGGAAACTAGAACTTCCTAATCATAAGAAATTTAAAGATGAACTTGTGCAGTTAGTTAAGAAATTATGTTAATGCTATGTGTTTCTTTAATGATTCTTAGTTGATAATATCAAAACTTTACTCAATGAAGAAGACTGTGCTGCTTGCTTTCTATCTTCTTTGTGAGTGTATCTTTTTTTCTTCTTTGCAATCTCTTCATACCTTCTGAGTAGGGAAAGAAATAATATGGTAGGTTTTTTTTTTTAATTTGTATTGAATTGATTGATTCTACTGTCTAGGGGCGTGACTAACTGTTTCTCGCGTATAGTTTCGGTTTCCTCTGAATTTCTACTTTTGACTCTTTCCACATAACTTTGTGATATTCATTTCTGAGAACTTGCAGGTTTCTTTGTCGCCATTGGCATATCAGCTGTGATGTTCAAGTCAAATGAAGTTGTTAAGAAGCAGACAGCTTTAAAGGTGCTATACCCAGATTTTTGCAAGTCCTTTAAAATATTCATTCTCAAATGAAGTATCTACTTGTGAACTCCCTTCCCTCTAATAAAAAGATGGATAAAAGAATAAATAACGGAGGCTCCATTCAAGTTCTATTTTGCAGGGAGATCGGAAAGTCTCTGTTCTTCTCAGTATCTCTTTTGTCTTCATGCTGCACGTGATATGCATTTACTGGTGGTATCAAAATGATGATCTTTTATACCCACTGGCCATGTTTCCGCCAAAAGCAACACCACCTTTCTGGCATGCAATATTAATCATTTTGGTTAATGGTATGGATTTATTCTGTGTATGCACTATATGCAGTTATTACATTATTATAAGTTATTTAAGCTAGACAGTTTTATTTGCTCTATCAGACATAGAGATATGAAATGTATGTTCATAATTTATAATTATAATAGAAAGTCGGCTCCTTAGCAAATAATTATGCAGTCCGGGTCAAATGTTGATTTCTTGACTAATATGCAAGGGACTTGGAAGTTTCAACTTAATAGTAGGATTATTTGCTTGACTAATAATGATGAAGTTGAAGCCTTCCTTTTTTTTCTTTCTTAAATCATTTCTATTTTAAAATATTTTATTATTTAAAATATATCTTGGGTGTGGAAGGAGTACTATAAAATGGGTTTTTTGCATTTGATCAGTGGGCCTGCACCAAAATTGAATAAAACTTGTTTTAGGGCGAATTTAACAGTTCTTTGCCAAAGAGGGTTGGTTCACTTGGTCAACCTTCCACTCATGACAACTCCATGACTTGGGTTTGAATCCTGGGGCCCCTCACTGATAAGCGATGTATAATCCTGCCATAAATCTTTGCTGAGGTTGGTGGTTTTCCCTAGCTATAGAATGGGGATAGCCTTCCTCACCCTAAACTTTTATCAACCAAAAAATTTAAGTTTTATTTTATTTCCCTTTTTGACATAAAAACAATGTCTACTTGTTGTGATATGAGCTGTCATTGCTTGATCACTTGTGTAGCCTACATGTAAGTGCTTTCTCAGGAAAAAAAAGAATATTACTGCTGAAATTGTGTTGAAGATCCAGAATTTTCATAGGAAACAGATTTTGAACTCTCAAATGTTCTATGTAAACACACTTCGAACCCATTTAGATAAATTGTTTAAATAAGTGTTAATATACAAGTGAGTCTCAGATTCACACTCAACTTTGCAGTAAATCGAGAACTGCTTATTCTAAAAGCTTGAATATGTTTTATCTGGTCTCAAGCATGCGGTGAGCTTGAGAGCATAGACTCCCTTCTTTCATTTTTGGATTGATGTTGTCACATGAATTGTGGAATTAATATCAACTGTGTTGCTACTCAGTACTGTGGATGGATTTAATGTTTCTCTCAGAATTTTCTGGTTTTGAGTCTCTCCTGTATGCCATGCAGAAAACCTAGGTTGAATCTAAATGAATTGATTACAATATTAAATATGTTTTCAATGTATTCTAAGATTTTTGTGTCTTCCAGTATGTGCACATTTAAAGTCCTTTCAATGTTCTACTTAAAAAAAAATTAATATTTACTAAACTTGGCTGTTTGCATAATATTTAAGTAATTTTCTTTCATTTAATATTGTTTTGGAGAAAAAAAAAAAAAATTTAGCTACTTATTTGCCTCAATTTTTGAGATATTGTTCAACGCTGATGGTGAGCAGTAAATTTGTAAATCTCTTTATGTTATGTCAATCTTTTTTTTGGTGTTGTGGTTTATTGTTTCTTTGTGTCCTGTATTTCCCTTGATTATTGGTATTTTCCTGGCATATAATCTTTCTGATTTTGTTGGTTGTAAAAAACAATTTTTCGATTGGTATTCTTGGTGACATTATACATTGACTTTCAGATACATTGGTGCGGCAAGTGGCAATGGCTTTCAAGTGTTTGTTGCTTATTTACTACAAAAATGGCAGAGGCCATAACTTCCGTCGCCAGGTTATTAGTAGCTTCATTATTTTTCCCACAAGCATGTCTTGTTCAAGTGTAGTTTCATCCTACAACCATCTGAAAGTATTTAACTTATTTCAAGGGTCAAATGTTAACTCTGGTTGAGTACACGCTGCTGTTGTATCGTGCTTTTTTGCCAACACCAGTTTGGTACCGATTTTTCTTGAACAAGGATTATGGAAGTCTCTTTTCGTCACTGACCACTGGATTGTATTTAACTTTCAAGCTAACATCTGTAGTTGAGAAGGTATGTTTTCAATCTTTATAATTAGTGTTTCTACTTCCGCGTGCTCTATTTAAAGATGTTTGTGTAAGACCCTAGATTATTCCATTTTATTCAACCTTCTGCGTACTTATTAGGTTCGATGCTTCGTTTCTTCCTTGAAAGCATTATCAAAAAGGGAAGTTCATTATGGGGTTTATGCTACAATGGAACAGGTAAATATTCTGTGAAAAGCTTTGATTAAATCTGGGTCTGAATAATTGCAATTGTAAATAAAAATTATCTCTTCTTTATTAAAATGTTTTGATACTTTCATATGCATTTTGTTGTTTGGAAATTGTAGCTTTCCTATATTTGCAAATGATACTATTATTTGCAAATTCTGCTAAATCAACTTAGCAGTTTTAGAAAAAAGGAGGAAAGATCTTTGTGGCTTGTCTTGTTTGCAGTTTTATTGTGTCTTTAAATTTTCCAAGGATAAATTCCTGCTGTTTTGGACAGTGGTTTTATTGACTTTTATATAGTGTTTAGTTCATGGATACTTCCTTGAGGATTCTTTATATGATTATGCAGCTGAGCTGGAGGTCTTTGATACATTGATGTGGTTTTATTCTGGTTTATGTTTGTTATTGACCTTTTGTTATTTGATGCTATCTTTTTCCTTTTTATTTTTCAATTGTTCCTTTATAATCGGGTTTTTTTTTCCATTTAAGAATAAAACTCTGTATATGCCAATATTGGTATTATTATCAAAGACACTTCTTTGGCAGCCTTTTTAAGTGTGATTCTAAGTTAGAATTATCTAAATGCAGGTAATTGCTGATGGTGACTTGTGCGCTATATGCCAGGAGAAGATGCGTGCTCCTATCTTCTTGTGCTGCAAACACATGTTTTGCGAGGAGTGTGTATCTGAATGGTCAGTTCATAGTTTTATTCCTTGATTGGTCCTTTTAAACTATAGGGTTTTTAAAAGCGATAGATAATTGTTTAAGGTGGACAAGTTATCTGTGTAGAGTGTTTACCATAAGCTACCTCTATTAGTTCTCTAGAATGCATTGACCAAATGCTTTTATTTAAAATTCTTTAGAATTTGTTAATCTTGGCTAATGGTTTACATCTCTCTTGCATGAAAAAATAGGCATATATTTGCTAGCTTTTTCAGTGGTCTATATTTCTATGGAATAAATTCAGAAAACTGAACTGGTTTATATGAAGAATTTGTAACTATTTACTAATAAAAATTGAAACCCTTACTTGTTATGCATCCTCAGACTATTTATTAGGCTTTTGTCCTGGGATAAAATTCTTGATAGTTTTCAGTTTCTTTCTTTATGCTTTTCCTTATTATGTTGTGTTGCATCGGTAAGTCTAGCTACTAACTATATGGAACATGAGAATGCGGCATTAGGGAGAGAGGTGAGTGATCATGGCCCTCTTCTGCATTAAGATAGTGAGGGAAGAAAATGCATTGTTAATGGAAATGGAATTTTCTAGACAGTGCACTCTGCGTTGCACCCAATGGCCAGGTGCACTGATTTCTTCAAACTTTAGAGCTTTGATTCTACGTAAGTTTTATTCTCACCGCTTGCATATTCATCATATTTTTAATTAACTATAATAATTACATTTGAAATGCCTTTGACTCGTACAAAAATCATTTAGATTGTAAGTACATTTATTATAAGTAAATAATTTGTTCATAATCATATTTATCACTTTCTCTCTTGACCAACAAAGATACACTTGTTTTTCAGGTTTGAGAGAGAAAGAACTTGCCCATTATGCAGGGCATTGGTGAAACCTGCTGATCTGCGGACCTTTGGAGATGGATCAACAAGTCTGTTTTTTCAGTTGTTTTAAGCTCGTTTTTTTTTTTTTTTTTTTTTTTGGCTTGGATCATGTTTTTGAGCCAAAATCTTCCTGAAAAAATGTCATGTTTAGTTTTCTGGTTTGGTAATTTTTTCCATCAGCGGACTCTTATGAAATTGAGATTGAAGGAAAGAATTTAAAGAAATATTACATTTATAGCTTGTGTACAAGTTCTTTGTTGTAATGAGGTTAGATGTACAAATGGCTTTAGACAGCTGCCAGTTATTGAGAACCGCATGGATCTTCTAACCTGATATTCCTAACAACTCACATTATGGACACATTTGTTCATAATGTTACATTCCATATTCAGTTCGCTCTTTCCTAGTACCATTTTGGTAGGAAGTCACTTCCATCAGGCAAGTCTGAGCATACTTTTATGTTTGGCATAGTTACTCTATTAAGATTGGACATACTTCGTTGAATAACTTCTTATCAGTGTTGAATCTCGTATTTTTCACAAGGTAAATGAATTTTTTTTATATTTTAAAAATTGGTTGATGTTTCATTGCACTATGTTATTATAATATTTATAATGGGATAGGTTATTCTGAGTATTCTTATTTTGTTTACTTTTGCCTAGGGGTGTAAATAGGCTAGGCTAGGCTAGACTAAGCTTTGGTTTAAATAGGCTAGGCTTGTGTAAAAAACACTGGGTCTGGCCTAGCTTGTTAGTCTATGCAGGTCCGAAATTACAAGTCTGGCCTGACTTATGTTTAAAAAATAAAAGCTTTGGCCTAGACTTATTAGCTTGTTTAAGCCTATTAAACATTCAATAATTAAAAAAAATCAAAATAATATTACTTTATTATTCAAAATTATTAAAATAAATAATATAATATAGGCTTGACATGTACAAAAAAGCCTATGGCTTATTTTCTAAATAAGTTTTTTTAAAAGCCTAAGTCTATTCTATTTTACTATTTGTAATAGGTCAAGCCTGGCCTAATATAGGCTAAGCCGTAGGCCCCTGTAGGCCGACTTAGCTCATTTACACCCCTACCTTTGCCTATCCCTTTCAATATCGTTCGATTACAATCTCATCTAACGGTTGATATTTGCGATATAAAATAAATCCTTTTTTTTTCTCTCTTTTTTTCTTCACTTTCTTCCACATCTTTTCTTTCTCCTCCCCTTTCTCTTTTCCACTACGATCAAGACTGAAAATAACGAAAAAATCAAAGGAAAAACACATATTGAATTTAGATGTAGATGTAGAAGCTACTCAATTTATCAATTGACCTCATAATAACCTATTCCATTATTTTATACGTCTACAAATTTCTTAAAGTTTTTCAATGGATAAATCTTGTCTACCTTTGAGACATGTCTTTATCAATTTTTTAATATTTATAATCTACCATAATATACAAATCAATACTCTGATCGTCATGGTCTTTCCAAAAATTTAAGAAATTGGATTGTGCAATAATTTATAGGTTTGTGCTCCGCCACAAGCAATATTAAATATTAAAGATTTATTGGCGGCCAGTGGTGGAAACAAATTGTTTATTAGGGGGCAAAAATTGGGGGATGAAAATAAATTTGAGGTTGCTCTTGGTTTATGATTATTTCCTAAATGGAATCTTAGCATATCACCTCCATGGCAAGAAGCTTAAACAGAACCTCAATATTTCTCTGCAAATGGCGTTGGCAATGAAGTACCTTCACTTCTCGATGATAGTTCCAAGAGACATAACTTCATTAAAAAAAAGTCTTTGAATATTTTTTTTGGAGGTGGGGGCGTCATCCCCCGCACCCCTGTAGTGGCGGCCTTGATGTCACCGGATCCTTTTTTGAAAATTCAATATGTGTTTTTCGTTCGATTTTCTCATTATTTTTGATTTTGGTTGCAGAGGAAGAGAGAAAGAGGAGGAGAGAGAAAGGGTGTGGGACGAAGTGAGGGGAAAGAAGGGAGAAAAAAGAGTTTATTTTATATCGCAAATATCGACCGTTGGATGAGATTGTAATCGAACGATATTGAAAGGGGTAGACAAAATATCGTATCATGTATAATTTGTATTTTAAAATAGAAGTATTCCTAATTATGATAGCTCAGTTGGCGCATGAAAGTTAAACAAGTGGGGATTAGAGAATGTATATTTGATCCTTTCCAGTACCATTTTTGGGAGGAGTTTAAAGTCTTAATCCTGGACCTTTTCCGAACAAGATTGTCTCTCGTGAAGGATGCATGTGGTTTATCCAAATAAATAAATAATTAGAAGTATTGACTATTAATTTTAAAATAGAAGTAACTAGGGAGCATTTGATAGAGGAGAAATTTTTTTTTTTGCATGAAAATCATGATTACCAAGAATATGCTGGGAAAGTGAATTTTTCAAAAATGTGATCAAGATGCTGTTTGGTAGGCAAAAATATTAATGAGAATATTGGCTCAAGTTTATTGATTCTATGTTTGAGTGATTGTATTATTGGGAATGTCAAAAAATTTCAACACCCGGGATTCCAGGTGGTATTCTTGGATGTCATATTGCTATACAATTTGTTCGCAAATCAAAATTATTGGAAAATCAGATATGGGAACTTTCTACCAAAAATAGAATTCTCAATACCAGTTTCCCGGAAATCCAAAAACAACAATTCATGTACCAAACGCCCCTATGGAAAACCATATTTTCATGTTATATGAGATCGCTTTTTCATGTTGTACTCACATCGAAAATGTGTCATTTTATTTTTTAAAAATTGGTAGGCCCATTTCATTTGTGTTCAGTAGGAAATAGACATGGGCATGTTGGATTCAAATCGGTGTTTTTAATGAATCGAAACAGAACAGGTTTAAATTGATTCAGTTCAAAGAAATGAACTCCTTCATTTAATCTGACCGGTTCGGAACGGGTTCAAAAGTGATTCATATTTCAAAATCAGTTCATGATTTATATCCAATTCTAAATAAGTTTGGATATGCAAACTAATTTTAAACCAGTTTCGAATTGGTTTCCAAACCTATTCTTTTGATTCGGTTCAATTTTTAAATAATTTATAAAACCAGTGATCAGTTTTCAAAACTGATTAAAAAATGCAATTGAATTTAATTCACCTCGGTTATTTTGCACAGTCCCATTCAATATGGAAACAATGACATATTAGTAAAAAAAATAAAATTCCCCTGAACTGTTACATTTGGCATCGAATATTTCCGGAGAAATTTGGTTCACTCGCCTGAAAACAAAACGTAAAAAAAGAAAATGCACTGTTACCAGTGCTAGTTGATGAAGAATGGCAGGATTATCAAACTGTTATTGACAATGTGGTTTAGGAGAACAATTGAGAAAGGCAGAATAAACTTACAAATTTATAAATATATACAAACAGAAGTGACTCTGGCTGACTAATTGAAAACTTTTAAGGTAACGTTAATAAAAAAACTATAAGTTGGAACCACGATATGTGCACTTTGTAAAATACATCATTGTGATCAAGGTGGACCTGCTTGGATGTCTCTGTCTGCAAGTGTGGACATAAGTTCCTTAATTTTTTTTTTTTAAACATAATAATAAAGCATGATGTTGGTTAGATTAAGCTTTATTTGAATATATAATAAGGGGTGAAATGGAAATGAATGAAATACGGTGGTATGAAATGGAATGTCATATATTTTATTGGACATTTTATGATACCATACAACAAATCAGCTTGATTAAAAAAAAGAAAAAAAAAAGATGTTAGGAATAGTTATTTATGTTAAGTTGAAGTTTTTTTTTTTTTTATAATTTTTTTTTAATGCATTTAAAATTTTCTTTAAAAAAAAAAATTGGAGGCAGCACCATCACTAAATGTGCGGACATAAATAATAATTTCTAGGTTGATCAAACATGGTTTATGAAAAAAAGTCAACTTTACATAGGAAATAAATCAAAACCAAATCCGGACAAGATTGAATTTATGCAATGATATATTTTGTGGTCCATTAGTGGTCTGGCTGCTGCTCCCCACTGTGGCATTGTGGGAGATCACATTATTTCGTATCCCATACTGCATCACTGAAACTTTTGACCCCCCCGGGCACCAAGAGTGACAACATTCATGCTTTTGCATTATGACTTTGATTGGAGCTTTAGACTCATGTGTAATCTTCATCATCACCTTTTTTTTATTCCTTCTCTCACATGTCCATTTCTTTCGTGGGTTTAGTTGGACTCCCTCCCTGCTTCTCTGTTACTAGTTTTACTTTACCATAGTTCAAGTAGCTGTTGCATAATTTCACTGCAATGAAAGCTCATTGTATGAAGTTTATTTATTTTTTTTGTTTTCTTTTTAAGAGGAGAAAGACAAATCCAGACGAAGAACACAATCTGATATTAACTAGCGATTTCCTTGTTAAATATTACTCTCCAAATTATGAAGATATGTTCACAATTGTATAATTTTCTTTTTCAATTTTGATAGAAAAAATTTAAGCAAATTATTTGTACTCAAGTAGCACAATCTAGCTACAAGGAAATACAATTATGATTTGATCCACTAAAAAAAAAAATAACAACTATGATTTGATTAGTAATAACTTTTAAGTTATTCATCAAACCCTTTTTATATATTAAAATAATCGATAACTTAATCAAACCCTAGGCGATAAGATTATGTTTGTTTGAATTTTGATATATAAACTCATGTAAAAATTCATCATTACAACCCTAAAAGTATTAATCTATTTTAAGCAATAAATAAATATAAATTACTAATACAATTAATCAAATAGTATGCAACTAGAGTTAGGTATAGCCTATCAGTCTACGACTCTATCTACGGCGAGACATTGACCTAATATATTCAGTAAAATGAAACAGGTTCAAATCTTAAAAAAAAATTATTTAAAAAATAGATTATATGCTTACTTTTATACTGCCCGACTTATATTATATTAATAATTTTAATTAAAATAAAATAAAATAAAATAATTTTAATTATTTTAATTAATAAACTAATATTATTTTATTTATTTATTCCAATACTTGATAGATATCGAAAGCTTGTTAAACTTAAAAATAGAGAGGTAAGATTTTTTATTTTTTGAAAATGACCAAATCAGATCTATAATTTAATTTGTATCAAACTAATAAATTTAATTTATTTTAATCAAAACCTAACCTAACCTGGAACCCATATAAGGTCATCTTGACAAACAATCCTGCTAACTTGAGTACTTAACCCGCAGCGGGCTGAACTATAATTGGACAATCCCAATTCCCATCAGGGGTAATCCAAATATGGGTCAGTAGGACCTGAATTGATACTTCTAAGT